GATATAGATGGTTTTACGATATAGTAAAATTATTATAAATAAATGAATTTAGTAGTGTTAGGAATACCTAGCTCTTTTATGTGGATTGATATTTTCAATAACCTGCTCTAGAGATAAATTATATAATTTTGACACAGGTTCTTCGCATTCAGTACATCCTTTGAATGTAGAGAGTGGTATAAGTGACTCTATATTTATGTCCCGCTCTTGAGGAAGATCTTTAACGTCTATGCCAATCCCTGGGAAAGGATATTTAGTATATATGCTCAGCTTTTGGGGAACATATTTAATTATATCTTCGCAAATACGTTCCTTGTTGTTCAAGTAATCGATATTAATATCTGTAACTTTACCAGCTCTACGCAGAGGTATAGCAAGCCTCAAAGACGACTTTACGCTAGGTTTAAAATTTTTAAATATACTTACAAACACCTCACCAGTAACATTATCCGTTATTGCTTTTAGCTCTTTAGTGTTAACAGAATTGATGTCCTTAACAGCATTTTGATCTTCTAGTACTTCTATAATATCTAGAAGACTAAACTTCTCACATATGAGTTCTGATTTCTCAGGAGCAATATTTTCTAGTAGTTTTATAATATCTTGAAGACTAAACTTCTTAAATATGAGTTCTAATTCCGTAGGAGTACTAGAGCCGATTCCCTTAACAATTTTCTGATTTTCTAGTAGTGTCTTAATATTGCTAGAACTAAACTTATTACATATGAGCCTTAATTTTTCAGGAGTAATATTTTCCAGTACTTTTATAATATTTTGAGGGATAAGCTCATAACTATAAAATAAGAGTTGCAATTCTTCAGTTTTATAATCAGAAATGTTATAAACAATTTTCTGATTTTCTAGTAGTGTCTGAGTATTGCTAGGACTAAACCTCTCAAATATGAGCCTTAATTTTTCAGGAGTAATATTTTCTAGTACTTTTATAATACTTTGAGGACTGAGCTCATAATTATCAAATATGAGTCGCAATTCTTCACCAATTTTTCTATCAGTAGTGATGTTATAAACAATTTTCTGATTTTCTAGTAGTGTCTTAATATCGCTAGAACTAAACTTCTTATTATTACATATGAGTTCTAATTTCCAAAGAGTAATAGAGCCGATTACCTTAACAACTTTCTGATTTTCTAGTAGTGTCTTAATATCGCTAGAACTAAACTTATTACATATGAGCCTTAATTTTTCAGGAGTAATATTTTCTAGTACTTTTATAATATCTTGAGGACTGAGCTTATCATTACAAAATATGAATTCCAATTCTTGAATTTCATAATCAATAATGTTATTAACAGCTTTCTGATTTTCTAGTAGTCTCTTAATATCGCTAGAACTAAACTTATTAATTATGAAGTCTAATTTTTCAGGAGTAATATTTTCTAGTACTTTTATAATATTTTGAGGACTAAGCTCATAACTATAAAATACGAGTTTCAATTCTTGAATTTTATAATCAATGATGTTATAAACAATTTCCTGATTTTCTAGTAGTTTTATAACATCACTAAGAAAAAACCTCCTCTTTTCATCATTATTAAGTATGAATAATGCAAGTTTTTCATAACCAATAGAACAGATATTCTCAACAATCTCTTTCTTTTCTAGTAATTTTATAATCTTGTCATCGACACTAGTAGACCGATTACTATACTCACTATTACAAATAACTTTAAATGTTTGATTATCAATAAAACTGAGGTGCTTAACAATTTTCTGATTTTTTAGTAGTGTACTAGCATCGCTAAAACTAAACTCATTACATATGAATTCTAATTTCTCAGGAGCAATAGAATCAATTTCCTTAACAACCGCCTGATTTTCTAGTAGTCCCCTAACATTCATAAAACTGAACTTATTACATATGAGCCTTAATTTTTCAGGAGTAATACTTAGTACCTTTATAGTATATTGAATATCAAAAGAGCTACAAATATTAAACACGTGTTCCAATTCTTCATCATTATAGTAAGTTATATTAACAACAGCTGTATGATCTTTTAGTATTTCTATAATCTCTTCAGAACGAAACTTCTTAAGTATGTATTGCAATTTTTCATCATTAATAAAAAATTGGCACACAATAAGTCTATAAATTTCTAGTTTTGTTAGACCACTAAAAGCAATATTTTTACAGAGTTCTGATCTCTCATCATCCCTATTTTCTAATAGTTCTGTAATCTCTTCAGAAGAAAAACTATCATATAGGAATTGCCAATTAATGAAAGATTGTTGCTTAACAAATTCCTCGCAATCATTTTGATTTTCTGATGATGTTTCCATTTTTTTGCCATGAAGATAGGAATAACTTTTATCCTCCTTACTATCACTTTGACTTTTCGATGACATTGCCATCTCCTCCTTACTAT